AAAGCTATTAACACAACCAGTCGGCAGATTGCCGAACCATCGTTGTGCGATTCCTTTGAGAGTCGCTGGGAAAACACTTGCACAGGTGGGATCATCCAACCCTTGAAGGTACATCAGGTTGGTGAATGCCATCAGATGGTCTTCTGGGTTAGTAGTGCCGTCATAGGCGCCTACTAGTACATTTTTCACTTTGGCCGGCTGAGCGGCTTCAGTAATTTCCTTGGAGAAGGCCGACGGCTGTTCACCAAGTCTAAGCAACCGTAGCTGCCAGTCCATAGGTTGGACGTTTTTTGCTGTAGGTCCACCAAATGGAGGTGGCTGCATAAAATACTGTTGTTGCGGCACAAATGGTAAGTTTGGTACCGCCTGGGCACTATGAAAGCCGGACTGACGGGAGGTGCCGCCTGACTAACTCTCATGGTACGACTGAGTATGCCTCATCGAGGCATTCGCAAACTTTCTTGAAAGTTTAAAGTAGAAGCCGACTCTGACAATCGGTCACTCTTCTTCTGCTCTAGCAATAGCCGAGCATCTGTGAATGTTTGCTTCAACCCGTCCGCCTGAATATGACGAACCGGTTTCCTATTTCCTGTAGGATAACAGAATTTTTTGAAATCAAGGGCAGGTGGCTCCCGCTTCCTAGATTTAGGATGAGGAGTCGCCTGCTCCTTGACTGGAGCAGTCGACTTCTTGTTGATCAACTCTTGAATCTCTCCCTTGAAGTCCCTCATGAAGATCATGAGTTCGTTCCTTGTGATGGGAGCAGACCCATCAGTCGGCTGTTGCCGAACAGGCGGTGCGCCTGCTGGCTCGCTTCCTGTTTGAAGATGCTCCCGTTCCCTCCTTTCGGTATGACGGGTACGTCGGGCCCTTAGGGTCCCGTCTGAAGTTGTATGAGTTTCAACTTCAAATTCACTTTCGGTGTCATGGTCCGACTGAACTTGAGGGTCGTCTAGGGGACGCCTCTCTTCAGGAGTCGGTACAGACTTGGATGCCATCTCTGAAGTACTCTCCCCACAGACGGCGCCAAATGTTTCGGGGTTTTCTGATGTCCTGCGGGAGAGTTACAATTCCGAGACTGGAACCGGACGCCTGTACCTGCAAAATAACGGAGACTCCTGGGAGCTCCGCCTCCAACGGTCAAGTCAGTACCTGATTAAGGAGTAATTAATGCGAAAATTAAAGTAATAAGGTCTCTCTAGGTGAGAGTGTTTAATGTAGGTAATCTGCTTTGTTAGCGAGATCAGCCGGTTATTAGTGTGTTCCGTAATGTTTTTCCCGTGTCCCCTTAATGAGGATTAAGGGAGGTATTTATAACCTTGGGAAACGTGTCCATCCTAGGTTTAGGTAAACCTAGGGCTGATTGGGCTTCCCTCGGAAGTTGGGCCTGGGTGGCCGGGTTCTCCATTAGGCATGGAGTATGCCACATGTCGTGACATAATAGGTCCAAGGTGGACGAATAAGCGCGTGCCACGTGGCAAGTCCTGACAGTTCCAACTAGGAGACACTTGGCAGGACCTGATTGGTCCACTTGGCGCATTCCGATTGGTGGGAGCAAAATCCCCTAATCAAAGCTCACTAAGAAGGTTGTCATGAATTTTCTGAGTGATACCCCCAAAGTACATCTCACTCTTAGTGAGGTTAGCCACAAGGCCAAAAGCCTTGGAAAACTTCTAAAAAGCACAAAACATAAGCCTAACAAAACAACTGTCAGCTCTAGCAAAAAGCAGGAGGTCATCAGCAAACATGAGGTGAGTGATGGAAAGCTTCTCACATCTTGGACGAAAGTTAAAATCAGGAAGCTTACTAAGCTCATGTAAGCATCTAGATAGCTATTCCATTCTAATAGCAAAGAGAAAAGGGGACATAGGATCACCCTGCCTTAACCCTTTCTTTGCAATAAAAGGAGCACCGGGAATGCCATTAATCAGAACAGAAAAGGAAACAGAGGTAATACACCCCATAACCCAATCAATAAACACAGAAGGAAACCCAAGCTCACTCATAATAGCCTTAATAAAGCTCCATTCAATGGATTCATAGGCTTTCTTTAAGTCAACCTTGATAATGTACCTAGGGGTAATATATTTATGATTATACCCCTTTATAAGCTCAGTGGCTAGCAAAACATTATCCCCAATATGCTTTCCTGGGATGAACCCAGCTTGAGCTTCATCAACAACCTCCCCAACCACCTGAGCAAGCCTAGCAGTGATGATTTTTGAAACAATTTTATACAGAACAGTGCAATAAGCAATAGGCCTAAAATCACTAGCATAAGTGGGAGTCTAAACTTTCGGCACCATAGTTAAAGTAGTACAGTTCCATTGTGAACTCATAACCCTAGTGTCAAAAAAATTAAGCACAGCCTCATAAATATCAAGCTTAATAATGTTCCAGGCAGATTTAAAAAAAAATTGAGTTATAGCCATCAATACCTGGAGCTTTCTCATCATAGATTCTTTGAATAGCAGAATCAATCTCACTAACAGTAATAAGAGCGATAAGAATATTCTGAGAATCCACTGAGAGTTGTCTTCCATTTCTCATAGTCAACAGGTCAATAGCTTCAAGAGAAGGAGAACTAGAGCCCATAAATTTCTTATAGAAACCCACAACTTCTCTCTCAACATCAGCAAGTTTCTTTAACAGAACATGTTGATCAGTCAGAATAGTGTCAATTCTGTTCCTGGCTTGCCTGTGCTTCATCATACAGAAGAAATACTTTGTATTTGGGCCACCCAGCTGAACCCAATCAATTCTGGATTTCTGTTTGTATATGCTTTCTTGAACAGACCTCCAATATTTCAATTGTTGAATAGAATTAGTTTCCTGAGCCACCATTTCAGAAGTATGAGGATTAGCAGCCATTTGGTCCTAAATTTCAAGGAGAGAATTCTAAGCCAGATCAACTTTCTCTTCAATATTTTTGAAGGAATTAAAATTAAGATCTTTGAGGCGAGCTTTCAAATTCTTCAATTTCTTCCAAATTCTATTCATGGAGTTACCAGAGACCCCAATACTCCAAACTTCTTCCACAGTACTCAGAAAATCAAAATGAGTAGTAAGATGATTTAAAAACCTAAAAGGCCTTCCCTTCCCTAAAATAGGAGGAAGGATCTCATACAGTAAAGGGGTATGATCAGAGAAGGAGAGGGAAAGGTACAAAGCTTCAACATTAGGAAACTGAATAAGCCAATCCAAGTTCACAAATCCCCTATCAATCCTAGTTTGAGTTCTAGGGCCACTATTAGCTTTGTTAGACCATGAATAAAAAGACCCTTTACTTTTTCTCTCAATGAAATCCAAATCATCCACAAGTCTTCTAAAATCTCTAATTTCATAATCAGTGATGGCATTCCCATTTAACCTATCCCCATCATGCTGAATCGAATTAAAATCCCCTGTACACAACCAAGGAATAGAAACAGGACCAATATTCCTTAAACCATCCCAAAGATCCTTCCTGTCATGAATACTATGTAAACCATAGACAAAAGTAACCATAACCTGTCTACTGTAATCAAGATTACTTACAGTACAGTGTATAAACTGAGAAAGGACACTAAAACCTCAATATGAAGCTTGTCACTTTTCCAACCCAACCATATTCTACCCTTACCAGAAGCATTATAATTACAGACCCAGGTGAACCCATAAGAAATCTTATTCTGAATTTTTATACTGTAATTCAGCTTGACTCTTGTTTCAAACAAACAGATAACATCAGTGTTAATTGACTTTCATTTGATTGAAACGACTTTGTTTGAATGTATTTGACTTTCATTTAATTCAATTAGCTTTGTTGAATGCATTTGACTTTCATTTGATTCAAAAAGCTCTATGTGAATGTGTTTGACTTTTATTTGATTCATAAAGCTTTGTTTAAATGTGTTTGACTTTCATTTGATACAATTAGCTTTGTTGAATGCATTTGACTTTCATTTGATTTAAAAAGCTCTTTTTGAATGTGTTTGACTTTCATTTGAAAAAATTAGCTTTGTTTAAATGTGTTTGACTTTCATTTGATTTAATCAGCTTTGTTGAATGAATTTGACTTTCATTTGATTCAAAAAGCTTTGTTTGAATGTGTTAGACTTTCGTTTGATTAAATTACCTTTGTTTGAATGTGTTTGACTTTCATTTGATTGAAATGGCTTTGTTTGAATGTATTTGACTTTCATTTAATTCAATTTGCTTTGTTGAATGCATTTTACTTTCATTTGATTCAAAAAGCTCTACTTTAATGTGTTTGACTATTATTTGATTCATTAAACTTTGTTTGAATGTGTTTGACTTTCATTTGATACAATTATCTTTGTTGAATGCATTTGACTTTCATTTGATTTAAAAAGATCTTTTTGAATGTGTTTGATTATCGTTCGATTCAATTAGCTTTGTTTGAATGTAATTGACTTTCATTTGATTGAATTGGCTTTGTTTGAATTTATTTGACTTTCATTTGATTCAATTAGCTTTATTGAAGCATTTGACTTTCATTTGATTAAAAAAGCTCTATTTGAATGTGTTTCAATTTTATAAGATTCATTGACCTTTGTTTGAATGTGTTTAACTTTCATTTGATACAATTAGTTTTGTTAAATGTATTTGAATTCATTTGATTCAATTAGCTTTGTTTGAATGTGTTTGATTTTCATTTAATTCAATTAGTTTTGTTGAATGCATTTGACTTTCATTTGATTCAAAAAGCTTTGTTTGAATGTGTTAGACTTTCGTTTGATTTAATTACCTTTGTTTGAATGTGTTTGACTTTCATTTGATTCAATTAGCATTGTGGAATGCATTTGACTTTCATATGATTCAAATAGCTTGTTTCAATGTGTTTTTACTTTCATTTGATTTAATTAGCTTTGTTTAAATTTTTTTGACTTTCATTTGATTCAAATAGCTTTGTAAAATGCATTTGACTTAAATTTGATTCAAACAGTTTTGTTTGAATGTGTTTGACTTTCATTTGATTCAATTAGCTTTGTTTGAATGTGTATGACTTTCATTTGATTCAATTAGCTTTATTGAATGCATTTGACTTTCATTTGATACAATTAGCTCTTTTTGAATGTGTTTGACTATCGTTCGACTCAATTAGCTTTGTTTGAATGTAATTGACTTTCATTTGATTGAATTGGCTTTGGTTTGAATTTATTTGACTTTCATTTAATTCAATTAGCTTTATTGAATGCATTTGACTTTCATTTGATTCAAAAAGCTCTATTTGAATGTGTTTAACTTTTATTTGATTCATTGACCTTCGTTTGAATGTGATTAACTTTCGTTCGATACAATTAGTTTTGTTAAATGCATTTGACTTTCATTGATTCAATTAGCTTTGTTTAATGTGTTTTATTTTTATTTAATTCAATTAGTTTTTGTTGAATCCATTTGTTTTTCATTTGATTCAAAAAGCTTTGTTTGAATGTGTTAGACTTTCGTTTGATTCAATTACCTTTGTTCGAATGTGTTTTGACTTTCATTTGATTCAATTAGCATTGTGGAATGCATTTGACTTTCATATGATTCAAATAGCTTTGTTTCAATGTGTTTTACTTTCATTTGATTTAATTAGCTTTGTTTAAATTTTTTTGACTTTCATTTGATTCAAATAGCTTTGTTGAATGCATTTGACTTAAATTTGATTCAAAAAGCTTTGTTTGAATGTGTTTGACTTTCATTTGATTCAATTAGCTTTGTTTGAATGTGTATGACTTTTCATTTGATTCAATTAGCTTTATTGAATGCATTTGACATTCATTTGATTCAAAAATGTTTATTTGAATGTGTTTTATTTTCATAGGATTTATAAAGTTCTATTTGAATGTGGTTAACTTTCATTTGATTCAAAAAGCTTAGTTTGAATGTGTTAGACTTTCGTTTGATTCAATTACTTTTGTTTGAATGTGTTTGACTTTCATTTGATACAATTAGCTTTGTGGAATGCATTTGACTGTCATATGATTCAAAATAGCCTTGTTTCAATGTGTTTTACTTTTAATTGATTTAATTAGGTTTTGTTTGACTTTCATACGATTCAAATAGCTTTGTCGAATGCATTTGACTTTCTTTTTATTCAAAAAGCTTTGTTTGAATGTGATTGACTTTCATTTGATTCAATTAGGATTGTTTGAATGTGTATGACTTTCTTTTGATTCAATTAGCTTTGTTGAATGCATTTGACTTTCTTTTATTCAAAGAGGATTGTTTAAATGTGTTTGATATTCATTTGATTCAATTATCTTTGTTTAAATGTGTATGACTTTCATTTGATTCAATTAGCATCGTTGAATGCATTTGACTGTCATTTGATACAAAAAGGTTTGTTTGAATGTGTTTGACTTTAATTTGATTTAATTAGCTTTGTTTGAATGTGTATGACTTTCATTTGATTCACGTAGCTTTGCTGAATGCATTTGACATTCATTTTGATTCAAAATAGTTTGTTTGAATTTCATTTTATACAATTAGCTTTGTTGAATGCATTTGACTTTCATTTAATTTAAAAAAGCTTTGTTTGAATGTCTTAAACTTTTGTTTGATTCAATTACCTTTGTTTGAATGTGTTTGACTTTCATTTGATTGAAATGGCTTTTGTTTGAATATATTTGACTTTCTTTTAATTCAATTTGCTTTGTTGAATGCATTTGACTTTCATTTGATTCAAAAGCTCTATTTTGAATGTGTTCGACTTTTATTTGATTCATTGACCTTTTGTTGAATGTTTTTGACTTTCATTTGATACAATTAGCTTTGTTGAATGCATTTGACGTTCATTTGATTTAAAAAGCTCTTTTTGAATGTGTTTTACTTTCATTTGATTCAATTAACTTTGTTTGAATGTGTTTGACTTTCATTTAATTCAATAAACATCGTTGGATGCATTTTGTCTGTCATTTGATTCAAAAAGGTTTGTTTGAATGTGTTAGACTTTCGTTTGATTCAATTACTTTTGTTTGAATGTGTTTTGACTTTCATTTGATTCAATTAGCATTGTGGAACGCATTTGACTTTCATATGATTCAAAAAGCTTTGTTTCAATGTGTTTTACTTTCATTTGATTTAATTAGCTTTGTTTAAATTTTTTTGACTTTCATTTGATTCAAATAGCTTTGTTGAATGCATTTGACTTAAATTTGATTCAAAAAGCTTTGTTTGAATGTGTTTGACTTTCATTCTATTCAATTAGCTTTTGTTTGAATGTGTATGACTTTCATTTGATTCAATTAGCTTTATTGAATGCATTTGACATTCATTTTGATTCAAAAATGTTTATTTGAATGTGTTTTATTTCCATAGGATTTAAAAAGCTCTAATTGAATGTGGTTAACTTTCATTTGATTCAAAAAGCTTAGTTTGAATGTGTTAGACTTTCGTTTGATTCAATTACTTTTGTTTGAATGTGTTTTGACTTTCATTTGATACAATTAGCATTGTGGAATGCATTTGACTTTCATATGATTCAAAATAGCCTTGTTTCAATGTGTTTTTACTTTTATTTGATTTAATTAGGTTTGTTTGACTTTCATACGATTCAAATAGCTTTGTCGAATGCATTTGACTTTCTTTTTATTCAAAAGCTTTGTTTGAATGTGATTGACTTTCATTTGATTCAATTAGGATTGTTTGAATGTGTATGACTTTCTTTTGATTCAATTAGCTTTGTTGAATGCATTTGACTTTCATTTTTATTCAAAGAGGATTGTTTAAATGTGTTTGATATTCATTTGATTCAATTATCTTTATTTAAATGTGTATGACTTTCATTTGATTCAATTAGTATCGTTGAATGCATTTGACTGTCATTTGATACAAAAAGGTTTGTTTGAATGTGTTTGACTTTTAATTTGATTTAATTAGCT